CCTTTCTCACCACGGGATGTCTCTCATCAAACACGGTAGCCTTCGTGCGGACCTTCTTTGAGGGTATCCTCCATGCGGCCCTGGCTTTTGGCCTCGTCGCCGGCGCCCTCAAGTGTCTGGGGGAGGATGGCGAGTCGCATGAGGCCCTTGGAATGATCGTCTATTCGGCGGTGGTGGTCCATGTGACGCTCCGGGTTCGTGCCATGCTCTCCGGTTGCCTTCCTGCCCGCCTTGCCTTTGTCCGCGTTTGCCCCTGGCCCGATCCATCTTTGCCCGCGTATCTTGCTGCCGGGCCGCGTGTCCTGTCACTTACCTTTTCTTCTCCCCTTGCTGCCGTCCCTCGGCCATGGCTCAGATTGGCTTCGTGACAATCAGCTCCTGGTCCATGCCGACGATCGTGGCCAGTCTCGGCTCTCTGGCGCTCTGGGTGATTTATCTTTTCTTCTATTCGATGGTGCGCTCACAGGTGTCCCCTCTTCCTTCCGAAAGTCCCCGATGCCCCTTGTACCCTTGACTGATGGTGCCCACCGTTCCCTTTCTTTCCCCCTCTCTCCCTCCCTCTCCCTCTCCCTCTCTGTCCGCCTCTCGCCCAGCTGCCCAACTACGCGTACAAGGCGTACGGGCTCTTTACCGCCATATTTACCGGGTCCATGGGTGCGCGATCCACCCTGGCCGTCATTCTGGTGGCGGTAGTGTGCGTGCTGGTGGCCCACATCGCGGTGCGCCTCTTTGCTCAGGAGGTTTGGGGCTGGTGGCGCGCATCCGGCACCTGGAACGGCTCTCCTGGCCCCGGGGACACGAGCATCGTCCGGGAGTTCCTTCATCGACATCGGCGCAACTTCAACCCCGAGGTCTCGTCTTGCGACCTGACGGAGCGCTTCAGTATGGCGGTACGCGCATGGCCGCACGAGTCTCCCTCTCAGCCTGCCTTTCTCTCAGCCTGCCTGTCTCTTTCTGACTCCTTTTCTCTCCCGCCCTCTTGCTGCGTATGCCGTGCCCGTCTTCCCTGGCCCTGTCACGCCTTGCCTCTGCCCTGTCACGCCTTGCCTCTGCCCTGTCACGCCTTGCCTCTGCCCAGCTCTCCTATGGACGCCAAGTCGATCGGGACGCCAGCTGCGACTCATCCATCCACTCGACCGAAGAGCTCAGTTCGCGGGACTTCCTGCCAACCACCGGCATCGCCCGACACTCGGTCTATGATGACCATGCTGTTGATCACCATGTCAGCACCAGCAACGTCAACAGCGAGCCTCTGACGCCGCCTATTAATCCCCTCGCGACCGAAGGGACCGCGGTCTATTCCTTCAACGCCTCGGGGCTCAGCCTGGGCAGTGATTCCCCTGGTGGAGCCTTCGCCGACTAGCGGCGCTCAAGCACCCTCTTCTCTCTCAGCTTCCCTCGCGCCTTTGGCGAGCCAAAAGGAAGGGGCACAACGAGGTGACGAGGCAGGCAGGAGTTTCTACACCCTCCTTCCCGCTGGAGGGGGGGGGGGAGTATGTACGCGCCCGTTCCGCTTTTCTCCCGGCACCGTCCGAAATATACATTTTTATATCCAGCTTTTTCTCCCTCTCGTGCCCCTCCAGAGGGCTATTACTGTTGGCGAATTGGCGCTATCGCGAGTCGTTCATGTGACCGTATTTCAGAGGATGGCAACATCACACGACAACGCCACCGGGTCAGCTGCATGCCAACCGCGGTTCGTGTTCCCACAGTCGGGGGGCCTGGCAGGCAGGCAGACAAAAGACGAGCATTTGAATTGCCCGAGGGGGGTGGGCTACGGTGCCGGGTCATTGGGAGGCTCTCTTTCCAGGCGTGTACATGGCTCTCAATGTGTGTAGTCTATATGCCTGTGTGTGTGTGTGTGTGTGTGTGGACATGTATTTGCCTGGGTGCGCGCGGGTGCCCCGGCGGCCACATGCGTGCGCATAAATGAGGGCGCACGCGCGGATTTCTGCGTGCGATGGCCGCCAGACCGGACCGCCCATCCCCGGACCCAGGCGCACATGCGCACCTGTTCCCTCGGCCGTGTCCCGGCCTCCCGGGCCGCAGTCCGCTGTCCCCCCCCCCCCCTTTCCCGGGGGACCGAGCCATCCGAGAGCGCAGCAGCCGTGAGGGGGATGCGTGGCCCGCATCTTGAGGCATTTAAGCAAGCAGCATTGGGAGAAACGTGTACCACTCCAGCCTGCCAAGGGGTACATATGTGCTAGGGGCGGGGGCGGGGGGGTACATAATTCCGGAGCTTCGCTGATTCATATCCGGTGGTGCTGGAACTCTCTGCCTCCCTCCTCTGATCGGGGCTTTCTCCCAATGTCGGGTTCTCTCTTCGGTGTGTGTCCCTCTTTCTCTCTCTCTCTCTCTCTCTTTCTCTTTCTCTCCCGCTCTCGGCCTTGTCCCCCGTCTTTCTGTGTTTGCGCGGGTTTATTTTTCCCGCACTTCCTCGCGCCCCCGTCGTCCTCGGCCGCCCGGCTTGGCCCGGCCCCCTCCCGGTCTCTTGCTAATATCTGCGTGGTATACTGGTCGATCAGGATGACCGATCGGATGACTCACCAACCTGGGGATGGCTCTTCGCTTGGTCTCACCAAGGCGCAGGGGGGGGGGGGGGGGGGCACACGTCTGAACTCCAGTCACCTGAGAATCTCGTAGACAGAGGGAGGGGGAGAGAGGCCCTCAGAAACAGTGCCAGCCCGCGCCGCGCGTCTCCGTGAGACGGGGCCCGAGGGCCTGCCGGGGATCTGGCAAAAGGGGGCAGCCCGCTCGCTGGCACAAACATCCCTGCCCGACGGTGTGCCGACCCGGGGAAGAAAAGGCGCCAAATGAGGTCCAACAGACCCCCCCGCACCGGGGGTGACTGGGCCTCATCCCTCGCCTGATGCTCCCTCCCC